CCCCCCCCACACAAAACCGGCCCCCCCCCCCTCCCCCCCCCGCACTCGAATGCCTATATACTGACACTTTTTACAACTAAAAACTCGAATTTCGGGAAAACTGAGCCATTTTTACAACGCTTGTATCTCGATAAGGAAGCAAAATTTTGGGTTCGCTTAGATACCATTTGAAAGAGGACCTTGAGATTTACAAACCCAGCGAAAAAAATAAAATAAAAATTTCCATCCCAAAGTAGACTGATTTTGAAAATTTCTCTAATTTTAATTAATTAGGAAATATTTTGAAAACTTTTTATTTTCACATAGGTTTGTTGCCCCAACTGTTCTCTTTCGATTGGTGAAAACCCCAGGTCGCTAGCTTTTGTTGTTAAAAAGTTATTCAAAAAACATCCACCTGCACGGTTCATTGAAATAGATAGTAGTACGCAGCTGAAATGCATCTTTTTCTAGACACAGAAAGATTATACATTTGCCATTATATATTCAACATACTTCATTGTCCTTTAAACTTCTTCCTTGCATGCCATGTTTATGAAATGCGAGTACACTGTCTTGTAAACATACTAAATTAATAAAAAAAAAACAAAAAAAAAACAATATAATTTCAATAACTGATAAGATAGAGATGATGTATATATACCTAACGAACGCACTTCACAGTCAAAATGTAATTCAGATAGTGTTCGTCTATTTGTCCGCAGTCTACCTTGCGAGTTACAAATTGTGATATTATCTAAGATAGACAAAAGTAGAATATTTATTAGAAGATATTACTATAAATAACTTACTTCCATGACAAACTAATACTGTTTCGGCATCCTTTTCCAATTGTATCAAATGGGATACATTTGGTAGAAATAAATCTACAAATAAATGAACAACAAGAATTTAATAAGAGTATATTGAGTAAACAAGAACAAATATCTTACCATCATTGTAATTTTCTAGTTTTTCTGTTTCAAAATTAACTGAAGCAAATTTGAACGTGTTTGCTGATGATTTACTACAAAAAATAAAAACGAAGAACAAAAGTGAAAATATTAGAAACAATTAATTTTACACTTCATACCTCTTCGATACACCGACGCATAATTGTACATAACTATTATCATGAGAAAATAACATTTCAAATATTGGAGGTTCAGATGGGATTGATACGTCCATTTTCTAAAACAGACACATATATCATATTTGTGTATAATACAAAAATATTCTTTTTTTTTCCTTCTATTTCGAAGAAAAAATTCGATTTACATACTTTTAAATGCATAAATTTTCTTAATGGATCATAATATTGCATTAAAAATACTTCATTTTGTAATAGACCACCGAGAAAAAAGAAACCATTGTAAGGATTACGTCCAACACAGCAACGTTGACAACCACGAGTATTGTTTATTTTAGATGATATTGCTAATTTCCTATTAAACAAAGAAAGAAGATTAACAAAAAAGAAAAACAGAAATTGAATAACGTCATACTTTGGCATTAATTTTTCAAATTTTTGTGCTATCTGTATTTTATTTAATTGTAATGATAAACGTGCTGTGCCTTTATTATGCATCAACAACAATAAATCATGTCTGTACAATGTATTCGATTTGCCTTGAAGATATACACACATATATTGGTCAAATATTAGAAAAAGTTATAAACATACCTGATATTGACCATAAAATATTATCTTTGACAAATAACCATGTTGTTCGACGAGGATATAACTTAAAAAGATAATCAAATATCAGAGTCAAATTGAAAATGATAAATGATAAATGATATAAAAAAAAGCTTTACCAATTCAAGTGTAGCATCATGAAGTTCATTTAAATTCAAAGAGTATATGCCTTCTTCACTAGCTATCAGTACAACTTGATCTAATAAGAGAAAGAAAATAAATGTAATAATAATAATAATAACTGAGTTTGGATTATATAAAATTTGTTTATTATACTCTTACCTCTTGTTTCACTGTTTATCCAACAATAAGACGAATGTATTTCTAATGGACACTCATTAAATATTTTCATAAAACATGCACCCATATGAACTTTTGGTACAGATGGAATACCATTTGTTGCCACTGTCGTAACAGTAGTTGATGACGATGATAATGATGAAGCGTTGGTTGCTACTGATCGATGTTCAGTTGACGATATTGATTCATTGAGTAACGGTGTTGAGGATGAGGTTTTTTTTAATGTTAACGATGAATCATCATTATCATGATAATTTAAATGTTCTTTACTAATTGAAGAAATTGAATCACTGTTAAGTTGAGAGATAGAAGATGATGATTCACTGTTATGTTTAGAACGATGGCCATTTGTATGAATAATACTAGAACGTTTGAGTGTTGAATTATTATTTGAATCGAGCTCTAATGGAGATACATTTTCATAGATTGGTACCGGTTGTTGCTGCTGTTTTTTACGATGATTATGATGATTTGAACGTGATCGAGAGTTAGTGTGACTTTCAGTTGTTAGAGGGAGTGGAGAACGTTTAATTGTATTAGTTGATTCTGTCATACTGTCTGTAGTCTCATCATCAACGTCTCGTAACATTACATTGACAATATGTTCAATTTCATTTAAAGCTAAATCATCAAATGCACCCAATGGTAATTTAAGTAATAGTCTCTAGAAAATAGAATGCAACATGCAATTTAAAGAGGAAAAATGTTTTTTATATTTTTATCATACTTCGATATCTTTTTCAGGCACACCCAACGATCGAAGACGTTTTATATGATTAGAATTAACACTAAAAATTAGAATTGTCAAATATACAGAGGATAATAACAATAAGAGAAAATATTCAACTTACTTTTTCTCGTGCTTCTTTGAAGTGTGACCGCTAAAAGAAAATGAATAAACATGAACAGATTTTAAACTAGTTGAAAGAAACATATTAGTGGTATATCTGAAATCTTTGACCACAGACTGTTAAAACTCTTCCCTATCCCACGTCAGAAATGTGTCTCGTGACTTGTAAGCTCGATTTGAGACAAACTCTTAGAGAATAATGTCCACACAGGAAAGTGTGCCAATGAATTTTGTTTGACCAGCTTGTGAAATGTTACCACAAAAGAAAAAAAATCGTATTTGTTTGTAGGTGTAACAAAATTATTTCATATAAATGGTGGTGAACTCGGACTAGATTTATTTTGTAGTCATTACGTACGTACAAGAACTCAGTTATTAAATTTTCCTTTTATCCATTTTTGTGCACGCGTCACAAGCCAGGAATAAAAAAAACTCGTTTCTTTTTCCTCACAGATCCTTTGTTTTATTGACAACTAGACCACAATTCAAACATTTTACCTCAAAAAAAGACAGATTTTTCATCCTAAGAAATATACAGTCCAGATGTTCTCAGTCATAAGAGCAACATTTTATGACTTAAAATATTTTAAACGTTTTTCTCGTTTGCCACAGAAAAATCTTATCATTTTATTGATTTTCTCGAAAGGACAAGTACTCGTTAAAATAATTTCCATATGTATAGATACATGACTCTCAGATTTCTTATGTTGAACAACTTGTAGTAACACAAAAATCAGTTTGAATGAGTCATCCAAAAACTTCTGTATTATTTTCAGTTTTCAACTTTCAGAAAACTTGCTTAAAAACGGGCAAAAGTTATTTTTAAAATTCAAAAAAGTATACACTTCGAGCTGTTAAATAATGAAATAATCTTAAAATTGACTTTTCTGACATGGGTAGGACGCTTGAACATCGTAAATTATTATAATCATAGATTATTTACTCTATACTAATCTAGAATCGTTTTCTTTTCATCGTGCATGTTAAAATGATCTATAGTTTTCGGATCTAATTATCACTGGTTTTTTTTTTAATCTGTACATGCATTCTAAATCCTCACTAACAATCAAAATGCTGTTTTGTTCTATTTACAAAAAACAATAATTACATATACCCAACATCAGATCATTGGGATTCGATAATTTTATATTTATAATCAAAGAACATTCAATAATCGAAAGAGTTCTATTTCTATGCACTTAAGATTAAATTTTTATAGAATTATGTTCTATACTATTAAATACTACTAATATTTTTTTAAAAGAATATTAATAATAAATATATTTGATTTTTTTAATGCTAACTAGATTTTAATACCGTCGTGACAATTCGTCGACGATTGCATCCAACAGACCTCTATATGATATAAAACATATTATATACGAAACTTTGACTTTTTATTAGATAAAAAATTTTGTAAAAAACATAAACACATACTTGTCTTCGACTGTCAATGAACCACGCTAAAATAAAAATGTTTTAAGTTATAGTTAAGACAAGATAAATCGTACATCTATTTCTCACATTCAAGATCAACAACGATTTTAACTCTTAAAATTACCAAAATCATTTTTCATGCTCAGTTATAATGCTGATTAAATAAAGTATTAAGCGAATAGTTCATCAAAAGCATTTCAAATTTTCATTTATCATTATCATTCGTCAAAATTCTCATGTTTGCCCCAAACAAAATAAAAATCAAGCTCACACACTTACAGATGTATACCATACCGTCTGATTTCCATTTGTTTCTGACGATGGTTGGAGAACTGAAGGAGAAATTGAAGAAGTTTGTTCATTCAAAATAGAACTTCGAATGAGTGGTGGATTATAATTTGTTATTGGACGATGATCTATAGTCGTAAAGAGAATAAAATAAAATATGATGAAACTATTTCATACAATTCTCTCTTACTTGATGATGATGATGATGACGATTCTTTGTTTGATGTTATTTTTCTTGGTGCATGACGATTATTCTAAAATAATGTGAACAAAAAAATGTCAACTATTCTTTATTTCGTTAAGAAGAACAACAATCTTTAAGTATACAATAATTTCATACATAGGAATCATTTGATGTATACACCAGTTAAGACTAAAAAACAAAAAATTTGACATACTCTATCATCTTCATCGTCGTCTCGATCTTGATAACAATTATTTGTACCATTTCTAACACGATCAAGTAAATCATGTGCAATTTGAGGTGATAAATTACCTTGAACAAATGGATGCTGAAAATAAACAGAGAGAAGAAAACATCAGAAATCATGACATTCAACATAACAGAAAGATCTCTAACATCAATGTGTAGAACAGTTTTTCCAATCGGAACGGCTGAAAACTTGGCAAAAAATGACAAAAATATTGAAAAGTATCTCTTCTTTTACAGAGAATATGGTTAAAATAAGCACAGATAACAGAGACTTATAATCCAGATTTTGCATAGGGAATGATTGTTATAGTCTAAGTTACTTTTCAGCTTTTCAACTCAACATACTCTACAGATTATAGAAGTAAATAACTTTCTCTTACTTCAAGTAATTTATCAGCGGCTGGTCGTTTCTTTGGATTTTTTGTTAATGAATATTTGACAAAATTTTGAAAAGTTATAGACCATTTAGCTTTATCTTTTAGCGACGGTGGTTTAAAGCCACTTTTTGACATTAGAAATAATGCACGCATTGGATGTAAATCAAACATTGGTGGCTGTAATTCGGCAAATTCTATGGCAGTTATTCCTACTGCCCATATATCACACAAATGATTATAACCGCCTTTTCTTTCCACAGCTGCCACTTCAGGTGCCATCCTAAAATGCAAGAACAGCCATTAACCTTTATGAAAGATGGCGAACTATTTGATCTTTGCTACTTCAATAATGGCATCGAACACTTTATTATACGGGTAGTTATTTTATCAGAATAGAACTAGGGCTAAAATAAGCTTCTAATAAAATTGAAAAAAATTTTGATAAGCAGTCCATTTCAAAAACTGAGAATAGAAAGTATTGATAAGCAAATAAATTAAAAGTACAATCATATCCTCTAATTAGATAAATATAGGATCCAATACATACTAAGAACATTTGTCGTAAAATTATTTTATAAATGATTTTTCAAAAAAGATTTTTGTATGAAAACAATGGGCTGCAAAATATAAGATTTCAAGAATTTAGCATCTGCTTACTGTACTCATCGATTTTTCTTCTCCATTTTAGCACCTTTTCATCCATACTTCACTTATCTTAGCAGAGAATTAAGTTTTGAATCTTTTATTGTAAAAATGATAATTTTAGAGATGTGTTTTGTTTATGAAAGTTCAAATTTATCTTCTTTTGCCACGTGAAAGTACAATTTTAATGTTAAAAGCAAATTGCAATGATACGAAATCTTTCTAAAATTTTTAGAAATTATGCATGAAAATAAGAAAGTTCCCAAGATTTTTTTTTAAAAATTTTAGAATATTCAGACAAAATATCATCCGCAATGTTACTCAGTTATTTTAGATTAATTTACTATAGAACAAGGATGAGTAAAATGCTCTACTTACCAGTATGGTGTACCAATAAAAGATTTCCTTTTGCATAATGTTGCTGTTATTGATGCAGCTACGCCAAAATCAGCTAAACAGAAAACAATTTATTATTTGAAGTAAAACTTTATTTCTTTTTTTGATTTTCTTACCAAGTTTAACATTACCATCATCCGTTAGTAAAATATTGGCACCCTGTAAAAAAAATAAGCATAGGCAATATGATCGAATAGTGTTGGTGATTGAGACATAAAAAGTGAACTATACTTAAGAGTGCAGCCCCTCACTTTTTGGGCTGTCTGTAGAAATGCTGTGAAATAAAAACTGAAACTCACTAAAGTTTCATATTTTCAGAACTAATTGGAAACTCAATAGAAACTCAATGGAGCACTTTTTCGCTTTTACTTCAAGTTTTTAACTATTCACCAGTTTTCCAGAAAATTCAGTTTTTCATTGCACTACATTACGACGCCCCTTAAATTTCATCCGATCGAGTGAAAACTTTTATCGGAGGTACTCAAGGTCATATCGCAGAGGTATTTTTTGCGAAATAGTTTTAAGACCTTTATTTATCGAGTTATAGAATTTCTAAAGTTGAAAAATTTGGTTTTGGAGACGTTTTTCAGTATTTTTCCTATAACTCAATCAGGAAAGGTCTTAAAAATATTTCCCAAAAAATACCTCTGCGATATGATCTTAAGTACCTCTGGTAAAAGTTTTAACTCGATCCGATGAAATTTAAGGGGGATCGTAATGTGGTTCAATGAAAAACCGAAGTTTCTGGAAAACTGATGAGCGACAATAGTTAAAAACTTGAAATGAAAACGAAAAAGTGCTCCATTGAGTTTCCAACCAGTTCTGAAAATATGAAACCTTAGTGAGTTTTAGTTTTTATTTCACAGCATCTCTACAGAAAGCCCAAAAAGAGAGGAAGTTATCCTTAATTACAATAAATTCATAAAATATCAGATAGAAACGTAAACTATTTTTAACAAGAAGAATAAGATAATATTACAGTCATCGGGTAAGCAGAATAAACTATACTGTCTGAAAAGAATAAAATTTTCTGCAACTTTTTTAAAAGGAATAAAAAGAACACTAGAAAAAACTAACATCAAAAATTTACGATATCAAAAACGAAATTAGATGTATATAAATAAATATCAAAATGAGACTATACGTCACCTTTAAATTGGGCAAGATGTAAACGGATCAACACTCCCTAGTAAACTAGACTGTGACTTTTTATGTGTCACATTAATTGTACGATTAGAATGCGAGTATAAAAAAAGAAGAGAATATAAAAAATGTTCGAAATACAATCGTTCTTGTGCGTCTCGTCAGCGACATTCATAGCAAAAATGTGTTGTTTTTCTTGCTGATGTATTTTGCCCCCGAGAATGTTTAGTTTTTCTTACGTCTAGCACTATCTGAAAAAAGTTTCCATTCATTAACTTTTGCACGTTTCCTATACACTCTTCAACTAGTGTGTAGACTTCTGAGAAAATATTTCTTAATTCATGAATTTTTTGTAGAAAAAGAAAAATGCAATGAACTGCATAAAAGTTTCAGAGAAATTCAGGCGTAAATTCAAGTTTTTAAAATAATATATCATGAAATGAATCCAATAGTAAATAACTTTTCTAATACGTTATATGCTCAAAGTATGGATAAGTTTTATCAAATTTATTTTTATAACAACATATACACATAGAAATCGTTAAACATACTTTAACGTCTCGATGCATTTTTTCATGTTTGTGAAGATAATCAAGACCTTTAAGTGTTTCACGTATAATATAAGCAATTTGTAATTCACTTAATGGACCATTTACTAAAACATAGAAAAAACAATTTTAGATCGAAATTTATTTTGGGTTATAAACAACAATAAAACTTACTGTGATAAATATCTTGCATACTACCACCGCCACAAAATTCCATGGCAATCCATAATTTGTCTCGTCTACAGAAGAAAAATTCTGGTTCTCATTATGAATCTCAATGAAGCCATATTAGTGACATACTTTAAATAACTTCCAAAATAAGCAATTATGTTTGGATGTGTACATTGTCTCATCATTAATATTTCTTGTTGAATAATATTGAAATCATCGCCTATAAACAAAGACGCACAATTGAAGTATAAACGAAAATAAAGTAGATTAATAAACCCTTACCAGCTTCTAGTTTAATAACTTTAAGTGCACGAAGTGACGCGGTTGGTATATAACGTGCCTAAGTGAATAACAAGTGAAGATAACAATACCAATAACTATTTAAAATATATAATTCTTATACCTTATAAACGTCTCCATAAGTACCACTACCAACTCTTTGTATAAGTTCATATTCATCATGTGGACTGCTGGATGACACCCAATCGAGACAGTTATTTGACAAATCGGTCATGGGTTTTGTACGACGTCACATTACAAGTGCGACAATTTGGATATGGGATATTGAAAGGAAGAGGGAAAAACTGGAGGATAATTTCGATAAGTGCTATAACATTATAACCAAAACACAAAACCAGTCATCAAACAAAAACAAAATTCTAGAAAGAAATGCAATTTTCAATGATTTCAAACTCAACTTCGAGAAAATTAAATTACAATGGATATTTCTAAAGATCTATCTGAAAAACAAATATCCTCTAATCATAGGCTTACTTCAACTGAACGAAGATAAGAAAATCAATTAAATGTCCTTCGGCAGAATAGTACTGCTTTTCATTCATCTCTCAACACATTCTCAATATGCGATGATTCATTTCATTTCGAAGTTACTTTCACCCCAATCAGCAATTGGCTTAAATAAATCGATAATATTTAAATTTCTGTCCTAGTACATTTGCTCTGAATAGTGTAATCACTTAAGTACGATCGGCGGGATATATTGCTTCGTAAAAAGTTCACAAGAGAAAAAGGAAATGAATTGTAGAAAGAAACATGAAAAAGCGCCACTTTCGCTGAAAGTACCGTCAGAAAAGTATCTACATTAGATAACACAGAATTAGTTAGATCTGCTCAATTTTACTCAAAGATACACAATGAAAGAATGCACATTTCTTTTCCACTTTAACAAAAAAAAGTCATTGTTTTTAGAAGCTTTTGATAATTTTTCAGAAGATAGAAAAAGACTTAAGTTCATACCATTGCATATTTCTGCAGAAATTTTTTTTGTTAAAATTTCACCGTAGCTCTGCGTTCCTTCTTTGATACAATCCTCGTACAACTTTTTCAGTCAACAGTTGTAGAAACAACCACTTCCTTGGTGACAGTCTTAACCAGAGTAGTTACTTAAACAAAGGCACACGTTACGGATTAGTTCTGTCATATATTGAAATCCATCTGGAGTATAGTGACTATGAAGTCCCTTATTTTAGCCCCACAAGTTTCTTTTTGGCACAGGATATCGTTGCTAATCCTCCAGCAGTTCTCACTGAACTTCGAATAGAAATAAAATCACCCATGTCGGCCGTTTTTTTAAAACGTTCAACAAAATACCACACGGTATACCGTACAATTAACCGACGGTAACTTATTAGACTGCGGTCTAAGAAAATACTGCACGGTAACTGTTTTATACATTCACCATTGTATTTGACACCCATGAAGATATAAAAGAAATACAGAAAAAGACGAGAAACTTGATTTTTTCTTCAGATTAAACTTTTCGTCTATCATCATCATATAGACTTGTTGAAGTTTAAACTTTGATTCGAGTCAAATTTCTCTCAATCGGGGGCCTGTCTGCGCTTAAAAATGCTCAACAATAAAAAGGAGAAAGTTGAAAATTAGTTTCGAACTCGTGTTCTACGTGTTCATAATGACAAAATACCAGACATTCCCGCTGGTTATATCGACGGTATACTGTGACATACCGTGTGGTTACCGCCGGTATTTTCGTTTATTATGGCGGTATACCACCTGGTAACCGTCGGTATTTTGCCGGTATTAAGCACATGGATATCAACGACAGCAGATATTTTCGACAATAACCCTGTACTACGTTCACTTAATAGAAGTAGAAAAAAACACAAAATCTCATTAAGAAATACTGCTTTTGTCTTTGAAGGAGTTTTTCTGAGTAGTTAGAAGATGGGTATCCTAGATTCAAGTTTTTACAAGAAGATCGCACTACAAAGAACCGTAAAAAAGGTCATATAAAATTAGTTATTAAAGATATTATTTGTTATTGTAGTTCTTGTTATCTATACATTTTTCTGTTTTAAAAGGTAGATCTAATAAAAAAAGTTGTGCTTCTGTTTTTGAGTTGTTCTACGAAAAACTCTTCCGATTCTTGTTGCCTTTTTTTACGCTTTTATATATTAAGAGATTTCTTGTGTCTGAATCGTAGATTTTACGGTTCTTGACTTATCATCTCTTTAGTCGAGAATGCAAAAAATTTATTTCTTCAGATAATAGATACAAAAGCACAACTTCAGCAAGACGCTCAACTGGTAAGAAATGCGAAAAAAACACCTTTGTTCAGACACTTTTCTTTCTTCGCGCCATATCCCTAATTTTAACAATATAATGTAAATATAGCTGTATTTTACGTGCTCTGTCTCTCTTTCGGTTTACGCTCATACAGTCTCTATGTGTGCCCTAGAAAACAAATCAATTTGTTATCGTGTGTCGCATATCACATCGGCATCAAAGAGTATAAAATAGTCTATATTGTTCTCTCTGTCTCTAGCTTTTTTGAGTTGTGTTTCGATTATTACAAACATCATTATCATTATGAAATTCATTAACAACATTGATTGAGCCGCACAATAAGAGAGACAGATTATAGTAAAGGAGAAAATTGTGTCATATTCTTGTCTCTCAATATGATAATTATATGTCCACTGGAGTTAATGAAGTTTTCTTTAAACAATTGGCTTTACACGAAGCACATGATAGCCGCCCAGTGATGAAAAAACGATGTAAGTTCTTATTCATTCATTCTACATGTGTTGCATCTGCGTTTGACTGTACGATCTCGTTATTATCAGGGTTTAGTTTCTTTCTATATTTCGTTCCATTTTTCATCTGCTAATACTGTTATATGTATATATATCAAAATCTATCTACCCCTCCCTATAATATAATTTTATACCCGTTTACAGTGAGCATGTGGTTAGAACAGAAAGACTTCCAATGTTCCAACAGTATCTTTCGATTTGTCTTCCATTCTGAAACTCTCTTAACCTTAACAAAATTATTTGCTGTTACTATAATATGGATATATCCATTTCAAAATATAGTGTGGGTGATTATAACATGAATGACTCGAGAATGGAATGAGGTATGGAGATCGGGTTTTCGTCATCGTGTAGCCAAGACCGGGCACATAATAATATGCAGAAACCAAAATTTTTACGTGGATCTCTGGAGGATTTTTAGGCAGATCTCTGTAAAACCAGCTGATAGCTCCAAAGTTTTACGTAGAAATCTATCAGTTTTTTTCATATATGGATAGT